GGGGGGGAGTTTGAGGAAGTTTGGAAGAGAGAGGATGTGTATGACTGTCGTTGGAATGCTTTGAGAATGTTTAAGAGGACGAACCCTTTCCTGTCGCCTTGAGAAGGGAAATGAAAGGGAGAGCGTTTCCACCTGACGTTTCCTTTTCATTGTGGAGTGTTTACCCTTTCCAAGTTTCCATTGTCTTATGTGTTTCTTGCCTATTTCTGTCCGATATGTTCAAGTGCGTTTCTTCATATATTTCTGTTTGCTCGTTTCCTTGGGGGGCCTAGCCCTTCCTCTCTTGCGGACCCTGCCTTTGTCCTCAAGAAAGCCCGGATGGCGGGGGCGGAGTGTGCGGCCAGATGGCGGGGGCCTATCCCTTCTTCTCTTTCGTCGTTTGTTTTTTTCTTTTTCTTTTCCTTCTTTTTGTTACACATCCCTGTCACAAGCCTCCATTGTATGGGAATGGTAAGATCAGTCGTGGCGTGCTTGCTGATGAGCGTTGTCCTTGTTTCGGCTGTTGCACAGTGCGTAGTTGGCTGATTCGCACAGTGGGTGTTCCGCTGTTGCACACATGGCGCCTGCGTCAGTCACACAATATGTCGCAATGGCATGGGGCTTTGTCTGAGCGCTTTTGCGACCGCTTGTGGTGCGCTCTCGCACCTCCTTTTTCCTTGTTTTTGGATGGGATGTTGCCCGACTGCCAGTTTGGTGCACGCGCTCTGGTGGAACGGGGAGCAATACTGGGTATGCGCGTGTGTGTGCTGTCGTGCGTACCCACGCCATCGTCATTGCGAGGATGCATCATGTCTGAATGAGCACGGCAATTATGACTTGGGGGGGGGAAGAGGGTGGCAAGAGGATTGATTGTTTAGCTGGCGATATAGATATGATGCTTGTCAGGCAGGCAGAAGGACGTGCACGATGTGCTTGGGCTCGTGGCTGACTGGTGTGTGTGGTGGTGCGTAGGAGCTGTCCAGTGAGAGTGTCTGTTGGAATCGTGCGTGGTTGTGTGCGCGAGTGGCGTTGGATAAGCTGCGATCGCAATAGAGATGGTGTGCAGCAGCCGTCGGTTCGATTGAGTGGGGTGTATCTCTGAGAAGTTGCATGTGTGACGTGTCTTGTTGAGTGTTGAGATGCGTGCATGTCCAACGTGTCGGGTTGGGATGCATGCGTGTCACGTGCAGTTGAGAACTGACACGTGCGCCACTCGTTTTGCGTGACACGTGTGCGTGTGCGTGTTGTCTGTTAAATACGAATAACCTACCTGCATGGGACCGTGGACAGGAGAGTGCGGCGATCACCGGGATGGGCAGGGCGGCTGCTGTTCGTCTGTGTTTGTGCCCTGCTGGATGTGTGTGGGTAAGTGCAGTGAGAGGGGAGACCGCGAATAGCTGTGGTGGCTGACGACCTCCAGGCAAGCAACATCAGTCGCCGTTGATGACCAATATCGAGGTGAAAGGTCGCCATTGTTTTTGTGTGGGGTTAACGAAGAGCAGAGTGCTGGTGGTGGTGGAGGAGGAGGAGGAGGAGGAGGAGGAGGAGGAGGAGGACGTGGGGAAAGACGCAGAGGGGTGGGGAGGGAGGAGGGGGGGAGGTAGGTAGACGGGGAGTTTGTCTTCTTAAGTAGAAGAGATCTTCTCTCCTAGCGAGGTTCAGCGAGCAGGAGAACGAAGGACGAGGTGGAGGCAAATACGGACGGCTGTGTGTGGTTTTCGAGGTAGGAGATCCTGGTTTCCTGTCGGGTTGGGGAAGAACATTGAGGACAAGGAGGTGGAGCAGGAGGGGTGGGTTGTGCGACTGCCATGGTCGCGAGCTTCAGTGGCGGGGGGGGCGCTACACTCCATCATCATCATCACCACCACCACCATCCGTCTCACGAGTCCACTGCAGCGGCGGCAGCAAAGCTGGAACTGCAGTGTCTGAATTTCTCGGCCAATGGACGACCATACGGAGATTTTCAGGGCAATGGACGACCGTATGGTTGTCTTCAGATGAATGGGCTTCAGGCGCAGGAGATGTTCTTCTGCTTCTCTCAGACCGCTTGTGGTCAAAACCTGGTCTCTCCTCCTACTGCTGGAACCTCAGCTGCCTCATCATACCCTGTTGGCTCGGTGCCGCATTTTATACAATCTTTGAAAACCTCTGCATTGCCATCCGCGCCAGACATAGGCTCTGATGAACTCATTCTGCTCACTGCCGCTTTCAACGCTGCTGCAGCTCCTGCTGCCATAGCTGCTGCTGCCACTGCTGCGGCTGCCAACTCTCCACTCTCAGCCGGCAATCCACCTTTGCTGTCCGGATCTCCGTCCCATCTCCTCCCTCCCGCTGTGCAACTTCCTAGTCGGCATCATCATCAGCCGCCGCCGCAGCAAAACTCGCTTTCCCGTCACCGTCATCATCATCACCATCATCATCATCTGGAGGTGCAAACGATCCCACAGCAACAGCAGCAACAGCAGCAGGAGCAGCAACAGCAACAACACCCGCAGCAACAGCAGCAACAGCAGCAACAGCTGCAGCAACAGCCGCAGCAACAGCCGCAGCAACAGCCGCAGCAGCGGCAGCAACAAGAACACAATCGTCATGACAGATTGCCCCAGTTCTGGTCTTCTTCACCACGGTCAAAATATTCCACGGCTCCCCCTCCCCCGCATCCCACTCCACCTCCTCCTCCACCTTCTCCTCTGTCCCACACTCCTCAAGTTCAGCAACAAGATGTGCAGGGTCGTCAGCAGCAGTTGGCCTCTCTGCAGGGGTCCGACAATGCTCCGCTTGTGTCTTCAGGATTCTGTGGGGAGTCATCTCCTTCATCCCGAGTGCGTGGGGTGTCTTCTCCTATCCCTCCGCCATCTCCTGTCTCACCGATATCATCTCTTCCACAGGATCGAAGGAGCCCTTTCTCTCCAGCTGCGGTGAACTCTGGGCGTGGGGTTGGCACGGGTGTTGGTGGCAGCGGCGGGGGGTTGATCCCCACCAATCGCGGTGCTGTGGGATTTGTTGAGGGACAAGATGATGTCCTGGTCTCTAATCCTCACCACCTCCACTCTCTTCATCATCTGCAGCTTCATCAGCATACCAATATCATCAGCAACAAGGGCAATGGGGTTGAGGGCGGCATCAAGTTTTTACCCGATTTAGAAAGACCCTGTGAGAGTGTGGAAGAGAAAGTTGCCAATTGGGATGACCGTGGTGCCCTGGAGGCTTATCAAGCAGTTCTCACCAGGGAAAGGGGATTGCCAGGGCCACCACCACCGGGACCTGGCCTTTATACCCACGAGGTTGATTGGAGTGATCTATCTAGCAACCCCGCAGGCCATGAGGACCTGCCAGATTCCGCTGAGGAGTTGAATGCCAGGCTGGCTAGGAGAATCTCTTCTCCCAGCAAGAGGAGGCGAAAGAAACAGCCATCGTCACAACAGCAACCATCCGCTCAGCAGCAGCAGCAAGCGGCACTGCAGCAGCTGCAGCAGCCGCAACAACCGCTATCTGAACGTCATGAGCAGCAGATGTCTCCGCATTGTCATCATGATCGTCAGCAGCAGCAAAAGAAGCAGCAGAAGCAGTACGGGGAAGGGGGGGAGCGGGGAGGGGAGGAGGAGCAAGGACGGGCAGGAAAGAAGCTTCAGGAGCACGAACAGCAGCAGAAAGAGCTGACGGAGCAGAAACAGCAGCTGGAAGCTGGGGTGCTGCTGGTACCGACTGTCCCAGTGAAGACAAAATGTGCAATAACTGGCCCTTCATTGTCTGCCCAAGTATTTGCCTCCTCTTCCTCTAAAGCTGTTCCTACTGCCCTGCTCAGCGCTGCTAGAGCTGAGCGCGAGCCCATGCTGGCCCCTTTGCCACCCGTACTCCCTGCCTCTCCTCTTCCTCCTCCAACTCCATCCTCGATGGCAATCGCAGCAACGTTGCAGGAGAGCCCGTCCCCTGCCCTCCGGTTGACGTTGGAATCACTTAATGTAAAAGGTGCGTGCATCATGCTCCCTTCTTCTTTCCATACTGTTTCTCCTTCTTCTACCTGCATATTGATGTAGCACCGTTAGCGAATGTCTTCCCCTATCACCGGATCTCATGGAAAATGACTCAAACTTGCTACGATGTATTCTCGCCGCTGTTCATCACGGATATATTCTCGCCATTGTTCATCACGGATATATTCTCGCCGTTGTTTCTTTCCCTTCTTGCCTCCCCACCCCTCACCTCTCCATCCGGTCTTGTTTATAAAGGACAGCGTTTTGCATGATGAGAGACCGTGGTGCAGGATCTTTACTCCTCTCCTTCCTCCTCTTCCCCCTCTCTTGGTCTGAACTTTGGGAGGAAGACGCTGCAAAATTATAATGTAATTCACTTTAGATTCGGTCAGCCCCATACAGAGGTGTTTTTGCCTGCAGCTAAAAGCAAGGTACTTCCTTGGTCAGGTTTTTACTAAGAGTGTAGGCGCCCCCTTCTTCTCTTGCTCTTTTTCCTTCTTTCATGCTTTGTAGAGGAGATGTTCTCCTCTGTCCTCTTCATAAATCAACACGCATATTACAGTCTAGATCCTCTAGGATTCATTTCCATGTTCCCCACTGTCTTGCCGTGTCTACCAAAGGGATTGCGGATCCCAAACGATATTTTCCCTCTCATTGTCCATCCCTTTTTCACCATCGTCTTTTCTTCTGATTTTGTACAATCTGCCAAGGTGCTTGCTGCCCATTCTTAACATTTTCAGATTGTTGATCGTTATTCACTAATATTCAGTTTTATTGATTGTGTGCTGCACACTTGATTCAGTGCATGTCATCCTTCCTAAGGGGCCATGCTAATCTTCTCCGCATTGTTCCAATTTTAACAGATGTCCTGGAGGACGGCATGGTTGGACTTTTTAGTAGTTTCTTACTTCTTTAACACATTTTGCGGTGCTTGGTGCCCATGCCCCACATTCTTCAGATTATTCCGATTTACCTGCTGCTTTCTGGTGTTTATGTGTGTGTGGATATGGTTATTATTGCAATATTGCCTTCCTGGAGGACAACATGGTTGGGACTTCTTAGTAATATAAGTTTTACTTCTTTTTTTCACACATTTTCCGAAGGTGCTTTGTGCCCATGCCCCACATTTTTCAGATTATTCCGGTTTACCTTCTGCGTTCTGGCCTTTATGTGTGTGTGGGTATGGTTATTTCAATTTTCCCTGTGAGGAGTAGAAGACTATGGAGGTTCGGTCTTCATACAGGATTGACCTTGTACACTCACAATGTAAGCACACATTCCAGACTTGGAACATCGCTCAACTTGCAAACTGATGGCCAGCATCCGGCACTCGAGCCTGTGCACGGCAGCGAGGAATGCCTCTCTCATCCCTGTCCTTCCGAGCTCATTGAGGACCTTGCCAATCTCTGTGGTCTGGGTGCTACTAATGCATGTCTCCGCGTTTTCCGCTGTCCTCTTTATACAGCATCCAACTTTCTTGCAATTGTCCCCTTTGTACAGGATCTGACTTTGTTGCGATTGTCCTCTTCATACAGCATCTGATTTTCGTGTAATTGCCATTCAGCATGATGTGGATCTTTTCCTGCTTAGAGGCCGGAGGAAGTTATCCATACCAGGAGAGGAGGCTTTACAGTTGAGGTCCTGCAGGTTGCATTGAGGAACTGCCAGCTTGAGCTATGCCATGCTCAGTCTGGTGAGTGCTTTGATCCTCCGTCTTGGACCTGGCTTTTACATGGACATTGCCTGTGCCTCTCACCATTCGGGAAGGTTTGACAATGACACCATGGTTCATGCCATGATTGTTGTCGGCGGTTTCCTTAGCAACAATAATCTTTTTGTGCGTCAGGGAACCATCCACACTTTTTTATATTGAGGGTCCCTTGCCTGCCCTTGTGTTGGAGAAGGGCGACGTGTCAATGCTGTGTCCTCCTCTGCATGGCTACAGATACTGTTACACTTGGCTTCAGGTGTCACTGTCTCTGCCATATTAACTACAACGCCATGGTTTCTGCAGTCACATATGCAGAGGGCTGACCCTCCTTTCCTGACTGTGCGCACCCTCTGCACCTTGACATCATATAGCCATTTTGCAGCCAGGGATGTTATTACGACATGCATGCGTCTCTGTGATGCCCATTTTTCTTTTGGCCTAGCTTGCCATTTGCCAGGGTTGTGGACATGGTTGATACCAGCCTCCCAACAACTATTGTGCAGATAATTCTCAGCTAGGTCTTCCGTGCCATCACCCCTCTCATCCCTACCATGCATGTCCCCTCTGTCGCCAAGGTCTGAGTGAGTCTTTATTTATCCTTCCCTATGCCGCCATTAACAATGCTGCGTCTGAAGTCCACACTCCTGACTTTCCCTTTTTCTTCCCCTGCTCCGCCTCTCCTCTTGTGTCTGTACCGTCTCCATTGACCCTCTGTTTTACAGGGTGCACCAGTGTGCTGTTATGGCAGACGGGCGTAGGCACCTCACACTCAACTGTATGAACGTGACAAGCCTTAGAGCTGAGAGGCACAGTGAAGGGAGAGCTGAAAGAATGAATAAAAGAGAAACCGTGAAAATGGACAAAAGAAAGTAAGGACACAACTACACTGAAAAAGACAGCAAGTATGGTTTCAGTGTGCCTTATGCTGTCTGCTCTTGTCTGCATTTGCTTCACGGAGTGCCTTCCTTTGGTTGATAGAGATGTCACAATATATACACGCCGGGCAGTTTGCTGTGACAATATATTGTGCTGTGTACACGTGCGCGATGCGCACACATATGGTTATAGGACCCTAGGCCCTGTACTGCCCTATACATTTTTTAACTTTTGTTCTTCTTTTTTTTGCTTCATACGAACACACACACGCGCGCGCTCACCTGCCATATGCATTCACATATCAGTTCATCGATGACATCCTATCTTGGAAGACATCTCCACCCCCTCCTGCTCGGTATTGTCTCGAGTGGAAAGACACTACTGAGCAAGATGGGTCATGTCTTTTCCGAGGGGCAAGAATCGTGGTTCGACCAGAGGGCGCACTTTGCTTTGAAGTGTTTGATAAGGCTGAGGCTTGGACATTCCCTGTCATTCGTTATCCTAGTGCTTCCTCCAATGCCCCAGCTCATCAGTCTGGAGGTGTGCTCACGAGACAACTAACGAGGTTTGGCCACATCTGTAACAATGCCAACGACTTCAAAGCTGCAGTGACTTCCCCGACATGATGTATGCTTGTTAAGGGCCATCCTCCCATTGTGCTGGCCAGAGGCTGGACTGCATATGTGTGTGGCCGGCAGCGCTGACTACCCACTCATGTCATACGGCTTTTGAACTGGTTTTGCCGCATGGTGCCCTGGGCAATTGCTCGATCACTCACTGCTGTATGCTAATTCTGTGCACAGGCCCTCCACACAACCACACACAATTGGCCACCATCCACTCCCGAACACCAATTTTGACTACAGGCATCGTCAGCCCTCCACATAGCCAAACGCCGATGGCCTGTCTTCTCTCCTGTTATTCCTACTGAAACGGCAACGCTAATGTGAATACGCCAACTCAGTTGGAGACAAGGCCAACTGCAACAAACAAAGTGAACGTTGTTGAAGTGGCTGCAGGGGATGAAGGCCTGGATCTCACCCTTGCGGCCACTGCTGTTGAAAGTGTGCCTCCTCCACTGCCCCCCCCCCCCCCCTAACCACCACCGTCATTGCCACCACCATCATCATCACCACCACTAACAACACCATCACCGCCAGCTCTCCCGCCGACATCTTCTACTACATCTCCTCAGTCATCTGCCTCATCTACTTCTTCTTTCTCCCTCTTCCTCCTCCGCCTTGCATGCCTCCCCTTCGTCTTCAACCTCATCATCAACACATGCACTGTCAGACCAGCCATCACAGAGGCCCTATCAGCGGTGGCATCCATCGTCAGATTGGTCGTCGCAGATACCTCTTCAGTGGAGACATTCCCCGCCTCCATAGCAACCTCCAAGACTGGGGTCTAGTCTGTCCCTAAATAGCATGATCACCGCCCCCCTGCAGGGGTCGGAGATCTACTCCTGCGCCTTGCTTGCAACTGTGCGGAACGACGTCGCTCTCAATATACACTAGCCAGGAACAGTACATATCGAGTTCGGTGCCAACAATGTGGCGAGGACTTCTTCAGTGCTGCAGGCCCGCATTGCACCAGACACGGGGTGCAGCCACTGTGCTGTATTTGCATGACTAACAGCCACCTTGAGCATAAGTGCGGCTGATCTGCTTCTGCTTCCTGCATCTGACCCACCCATTTCTCATCCACCTGGGCCCGCTTACGTCCCCGCCCCAATTGACAACCATCCACCTTCTGATCACTTGATGGAGCCCCCGACTGAAGATGATCTCTCTCCGGACAGAACCAGTCAAGACCACAATGAATCTCCGCCTACCGTTCAATCTGCAGAATTGAACGAACCTCCCCTTCTGCACAACCTGCAGAATCAGACAATCTCGTAGAGCTACATTGAGGCCGCTGTGCGTGCTATGCCATTAATGTATGCCTCTCGCTTATGATTGCAACCCTTCTACGGTTTCTGATTTTGCAGATATCGTCCGCTGGATAGAAGAAGAGCACCGTGCTGTCTGCCCAGAGGACAACAGTACTGCACCCGGCGTGAACACAGAGGTCCTGTCTATCGCATTTATGGGAAGGTGACTACAACTCCAGCCTGCTCCACATAATCACATCCCAGGTGTGGATCCAAGTAATCGTGCGTACATCCTGCATCGACCAGGCCAGTTCAATGCTGTAACCTTTGCGGACAATTCATCGACCCTATGGGACAACGGCGGTAGAGTGCACATTGCGAGAAGTATTAACTCCTATCACCAAGCGGTAGATTTTCACTCGGTCTGGCTTGCTCATCAGAAACAGTATGTCACTGTGCGCATGCAAGCACTACAGCTTTTGGAGAGCAATCCGGCTGAACCTCCTCCCTCCCCTGTACATGGTTAGGCAGTGTC